AAAGGCGAGGGGTCGGCACGCTGCGCAATGTCAGCGGCGCCCGGGGACCCCGACCGGGGCCTTCTCCTTCCCGCCTCCGCGTCCTTGAGGAGGTCACGGCGCCTCCCCAAAGCAGGCGGCGCCCGAGCGGGCCTACGGCCAAGGCTGGGGCCCACAGGGACTGCGCGCTCCGCTCCCCGCACCCACCGGGAAAAGGCCGGGTCACACTCACGGCCTAAGATGGCGAACCCGCGTCCGCTCCCTAGGCAAGGCTGCGGCTCACAGAGGCAGGACGTCCTCTCAGCCCTCAGATCCGTGCCCTTCGCGCGGCGTCAGCGTGACGCACGCCGCGCGTCGACTACAGGCACGCGACGCCCATTGGTGGAGAAGAGCTCCGGGACCTCTACGCCAGTGCGTTCTCCTAGCAACCCTTGCCCCGCCCCCGTTCGCCCCAGCATTTCCGGCCCGGCTTGTGCGCAGGAAGAATCGTCCTGCGCAGGCGCGCATTCCAGACTGGGCTCTTGAGCGCTGACTTGTGACTGTGGCCCGTCCTCATTGTCCCTTCACCTTCAGGCATTTCTCCTTGACGCCAGTCCTTTTGTTCTTTTCGTATAAGTGAGGGCTAGTATATAGTTATTGTTGTTAGGTGCCCTCAAGACCCTGTGTACAACAAGAAAACACCGCACTGGTCTTGAGGTCATTAAGGGATACTATGCCAATCCATCCAGTTGAGAGTCTTCCTCTTTTTCATTGATCCTCTGACGGTCTGCATCATATATATATAGTAATTAATTATGGGAAAAAAGGGTAATGCTAGACACACTGTTTAGGTGTTACCATTAGAAACACTGAAAATTGAGTAAGTCAATATGGCAGGGTTGTAGGATACCATATGTGACAGTCAATTGCTTTCCTCCATACTAGCCATGAGCAATTTGGATCTGAAATTATGACAGACTATTTACATAAGCACAAAAACAAAATAAGACATTAAATCTTAAAAAAAAAAAAAGAAACACTGAAAATTTCTGTGCCCCAACGTCTAACAGAGTTAGTGTTTTATTTTTTATACCACCCATTGACATTAAACAGACATGTCTATATTTACCATCAGGTTACGGGATGACATATTCAAAGTAAATGTGTAATAGGAACTCTTAAAACAGAAAAGACAGTCTGCTGTTTTTTTTTTGAGTCTGCTATTTTATCGCAAATAATCTACATACTCAACAGTTTCTAACATTCATTCGTTCATAAAAGTTTTTAACACTTGCACTTACAAGTATGAACTACAAGGAAATGACAGCAATAGACGGTTCAATAAAGTTCGAAGAATTTCACCAGATTTGATTGATCTGAAAATATCCTGGTTTTGTTTGGAGAACTTTAAAAAAAAAAAACCTTGTTCAAGTTGATTCTAACTGCTAGTGACACTGTAGGATAGATTAGAATTGCCCCATTGAACTTCCAAAGCTGCAAATCTATGCCGAACCAGACTACTCTATTTTTCTCCTGGGCAGCAGTTTTCATTTGGGTCACCGGAGCTCCTCATGGAAATCTTAAACCCCAAAGCCAAGCTCATTGTCATCAGTCTATTCAGACTCATAGTAACCCTATTGGGCATAGTAGAACTCTCCTTTGGGTTGACAAGGCTGTGCATCTTTGTTAAAGCAGAAAGGCTCATCTTTCTCCCATGGACCCACTGGTGGTTTCAAATGCTAACTTTGTGGTTAGGTTAGCTTGTTACCCACTATGTGGTCAAGCTCCTCCAAGGTGAGTTTAGAGTCAGACTTCTTTCGTAGGTAAACAAAGAAAGGCACTACAGGATTTTTCTGGTATATATATAAATAATTTTTTTAATCCAGAAAAAATATCTTAAAGCTGAGTATGTTTGACCTGATATATATATCAGGTCAAGCATTACATGTTCCATGAAAATCTATGACTTTAGTGAATCCTACTGCCCTTTCTCCAGCGTCTGATGGTCACTGTTTCCCTTTGCTACAGTGTTTTGGCTGGTGCCCTTCACTAGACTGGGCCCAGGACTCAGCAGAAGGAGCTGATCCAGTCAGTGGTAGCTGGAGAAACTGCAGGCCCAGCCTTAACCCCCTCTCAACAAGGCGAGCCAGCAGACTAGTGACAATGTGAATGACCTGCAACAGCACCTGACCTTCAGAGTATAATAGCTGCCACTGTACTCCTAGAGACCCCAAAGTGTACATATTTCTCCTGTAACTAACCTGAAGTGGGAAGCATACAGGGAAAAGCACTCTGGAAATACAGTTCCAGCTAAGCTACACTGACACAACCCTCCTCACTCCACCCCCGAACCACTACCATTACCACCACCACCACCCCGCTACCCTACCCCCATTGTCAACTTGGCATCCACGAACACTACTTTTCATTTTATTTCACTTCCAAATAAAGACTAACTTGGCAACGTCCTATTTCCACCTAACACGACTCCGTTATCCCTTGAATTTAAAATATGCTAACCCTCTCTGAAAGGGGATGCCAAATCCTTTATCCATAGTTAACTCCAAACCCACTGGCCTTCAGCAGATTGCAACTTCTAGCGACATTATAGCTCAGCGTCTAACTGCCCCAAAGAGCTTCCCAGGGAGAACGATGAGACTTTCTACTCCGGTGAAGATTTACAATCTTGGAGACCTACGGGGTCAGTCCTACTCTGTCCTACCTGAGTCAGAATCAACGGGGGGCAGCGAGTGAGTGAGGACTTCTGAGCTTATTAATCTTCAAGGAAGCCAACAGCCCCATCTTTCTCCTGTTCTCCATCTTTCTCTGATGTTTATTTCTCTTCCAGTTGGATAAGGTAGCAGATTAAATACCCTTAATACATTTTGTGTTACATGATAGGAGTATGGGAAGAATGGAAGAAAGTATGATATGCACAGGTTTATTCATTTTAAATAAGCATTGTGTCCCTCCGTTATTATTGATAGTTGCGGTTACCTTTGGAAGCAGATGGCGAGGCCTTTCATTGGGGTGGCTCTCGGGGGCTCAAGCGAACCACTTGGGTTAGTGGTTGAGAGTTCACCTGTTTGTATCACCCATGGACACTTTTTGGTAGCAGTAGGAGGGACTAGATATAGTAACTTGCCCTAGAAATTCCAGCACCGACATGAGGTCCAAGTCCTTGAGAAGTATGATATTGGGTTGCATAATTGGCCAAACGCTGACTAAGAATAAAAAAGAGAGAATAGTGGCTCTGCCAACCGGAAGCAACCGTCGGGTGATTTCAGTGAAATGATGGATTCACAGTGACTCAGAAAACAGACACAACTCCAGTGATCACCTAACCTCCAGAAGCTGCTTCTCTGCTGGCCCACAGTGGCTTGTTGTGTCTCTAGGAATTCATATCAGTTCAGAGCCAGCATCCAGTAAGC